AAAATTTGTAGTCCGAATTTATAATTAGCATTGGTTCAAGTTATACGTCAGGCACCAATCAATAGTTTTTTTTTTTTTAAACTATCTTCGCCCAGTGGGCACAGAGAGCCTTTTTTTGTGCCACAGGGCGGGGATAGTTGGGTTTGGCCAGACCTACAATGGACTGGCCGGGTAGTGAGGGACAGACCACCCCCAAAATTCCCGAATCTCTCAGAGCGGTAGCCTGCCACCTTAATCTCTCGGCCTTCCGGCTATCAATAGTTTCGTTTCTGAATACAATAGAAGTTCGTCAATCCGACACCCGAGGGATAATAGTGCCGGATTATTGAAAAAGCAGAAATACAGGACGTTTTTATATTTTCGCAAAATTCAATAAGTTATATGCTGCAGACATTGCCATACATTTTGTACTGCTGCATTCTTCCGATTTGTACACATCCCTTTAATTAGTCTGATGATGATACAGTGCATGACTATACTGTATTAAGATTAATTAATTGAAAAACATGAAAAAACGTTAATAAACGTGCAATTGTACAAACCAATATCTGCAATGATCAATGTACTGTACATATATAATACGTAATTATCCAGACAGCAATACTTATTTTCCAGACACGCATTCCGTTCGGTGTCTTTAGAGCACCGTGTTTCCAAACAAATTCCAAACTATTATCGTGTAATCCGGCTACGAAATTAACAAATTTCTACAGTATTTCAATAGTTCTTCACATTCAATTTTTAATTTCAAAATATTTTGTTCATCGAATTTTAGTAATTACAATACAGTACATTATCTCTTAAGTAACGACAGCAAGAATTGATTATGGCTATTATTATTTTTAGTCTTCATGTAATTATTATATTAAACTTCACAGTGATTGAATGCACTACTGTATGATGATCTTGCCAGTAGAATTTTATAACTTTGTACACAAGACTGTATGATAGGTAAATTTAAATTTTGCTAAACTATTTATAGTAGTAATACAGTCATATCTCGACATAGTGCCTTTATAAATTGTTCCAAATCAACAAATCCTACCCATAAATATTAAATAGAGAGCCTTTCAGTATCTGATAATTAATAGTCTAAATGTACGATTTTGCGTTAAAACGACATTGTTATCACGAAATAAAATGGCTTACAAACTGACATTTGTGCATAAAACTCATTATTATTGTCCGACCACAGATCCCCGAATCTCAGTTTTTAGATTTCCAGGAACTATTTCTATGCTGAATAAGGAAAGTGAAACGAATGAAAATCAGTATGCATTATTAAACTATAGCTCAACAACAACGCTTATCATTTTTCTTAACAATAGTACACATTTGTATTGAATTAATTTGATTCGACACATTCTACGAGTTCAGATAATAAACAATTTCGAAGTCAAAGCAAACGCATTATTCACAATGTACTTATTGTTTCCAAGCAATTTATCCAAATTAATTAAATTAATAAGTAGCCTATACTAATAGATTCNAGCAACTTTTTTTATTTCGTTAACGAAATAATCAAATTTACTACATTTACATCGAATTTAAGTATTAACATTGTAAAGAAAAAAATTCTAAAACATCCAGGAGGAAATATATTTATATAAAATACATTGTTTTAGTCTTTACAGACAAAAACAGACTAAAACAGTTATTGTGTAAATAAAATACATTGTAAAATACAAAATACTAATCACAGGAACATGATCCACACTGACCAGTGCGGATCATGTTCCTGTGATGATGAAAAAGGACGATAGAAGACAACAAGAATAAGTCTTTAATATTTGGTATTTTACAATGTATTTTATATAAATTAAGTTATTAAGTTCAATAAGTGTAAATTGAACTGTCATCACGCATGACAATTTAAATAAATCTAAACTGATTGTAGGATGTTATTGATTACAAACCAAACAATCAGTTTCAAATTTAATTATTAATCTAAATTCGGTAAAATTCGAAAGGGCCACTATTTCGCTTTTGCTTAAAGTATGATAATGAATGACTGACAAACCTTCTGCTAATTACATTTTCAAAGTAATGAATGGGTTTTAAGTACTACAATATACTGTATTACTTTTAACCTATATGTCTATGCTCTTGTACTATGATGCAATTTCTAAATCTCAATTGTTTTTAGATTTATTTTCTATTAAGCTTAAATTTTAATCTTGCGTGTGACTCACTTTGAAATTTGATAGATGAAATCGGAAGTACAATGGTAGCAAATGTAATATTTTGCCATCGATAATTAAGTTCTCAGAATATTATAATTAGATAATTACAACTGCGACGATTTCTAGCCATCACCGTATTGTGTATTATATTCAAACTTTTCTTTCATCACACCGCTTTTGCACGGGCGCCAACTCTGTGACCGGAACCCATTCCGCCCTCAAGTAATATTTTAAGTGGTGCTGAAAATTTGTAGTCCGAATTTATAATTAGCATTCGGTCCAAGTTATACGTCAGGCACCAATCAATAGTTTTTTTTTTTTTAAACTATCTTCGCCCAGTGGGCACAGAGAGCCTTTTTTTGTGCCACAGGGCGGGGATAGTTGGGTTTGGCCAGACCTACAATGGACTGGCCGGGTAGTGAGGGACAGACCACCCCCAAAATTCCCGAATCTCTCAGAGCGGTAGCCTGCCACCTTAATCTCTCGGCCTTCCGGCTATCAATAGTTTCGTTTCTGAATACAATAGAAGTTCGTCAATCCGACACCCGAGGGATAATAGTGCCGGATTATTGAAAAAGCAGAAATACAGGACGTTTTTATATTTTCGCAAAATTCAATAAGTTATATGCTGCAGACATTGCCATACATTTTGTACTGCTGCATTCTTCCGATTTGTACACATCCCTTTAATTAGTCTGATGATGATACAGTGCATGACTATACTGTATTAAGATTAATTGAAAAACATGAAAAAAACGTTAATAAACGTGCAATTGTACAAACCAATATCTGCAATGATCAATGTACTGTACATATATAATACGTAATTATCCAGACAGCAATACTTATTTTCCAGACACGCATTCCGTTCGGTGTCTTTAGAGCACCGTGTTTCCAAACAAATTCCAAACTATTATCGTGTAATTCGGCTACGAAATTAACAAACTTCTACAGTATTTCAATAGTTCTTCACATTCAATTTTTAATTTCAAAATATTTTGTTCATCGAATTTTAGTAATTACAATACAGTACATTATCTCTTAAGTAACGACAGCAAGAATTGATTATGGCTATTATTATTTTTAGTCTTCATGTAATTATTATACTAAACTTCACAGTGATTGAATGCACTACTGTATGATGATCTTGCCAGTAGAATTTTATAACTTTGTACACAAGACTGTATGATAGATAAATTTAAATTTCGCTAAACTATTTATAGTAGTAATACAGTCATATCTCGACATAGTGCCTATATAAATTGTTCCAAATCAACAAATCCTACCCATAAATATTAAATAGAGAGCCTTTCAGTATCTGATAATTAATAGTCTAAATGTACGATTTTGCGTTAAAACGACATTGTTATCACGAAATAAAATGACTTACAAACTGACATTTGTAAATTGACTTGAATTTCTAAGTCAAAGCAAACGCATTATTCACAATGTACTTATTGTTTCCAAGCAATTTATCCAAATTAATTAAATTAATAAGTAGCCTATACTAATAGATTCTAAAAAGCAAATTGTTAATATCATAACTATTAATTAAGTTCTAATTTCATTTGCGAATTTGTTTTTTTTTGACATAAACTAAGTCATTTTCTGAAGTAACTACACTATTTATATGCTTTTTACCCACTTCCAAATTTTTAATCTAGTTACACTTAGCATACATATATATTTGCAATGGCAATACATATTTTTAGAGTTTGCAAAAAATTTTAGTGATTAGCAAAAACGCTAAAGTTTGTAAAAATCTGAAAACCAGATTGCGCTACACGTAGGGCAAACTAGCCCCTTTTAGTCGTATTATCTACATAAAACCTTGTAACTCAGTGTTCCTGTATGATTTCTTCTCAATAGCAACTTTATGTTACGTTCCAAAAAACATACAACTAATTGAGAGAATAACAATCAATCAATCAAGTCTTATAACTCAGTTTTTCACAGATTTCTCATTAAATGCTAAAACAAGAATTTCGATAATTCGATGTTAAATACATAAAACGTAAAGATAGAAAATAAAATGGAAATTATGTCAGTGGCGCGTTATAGCGTCATGAAGCTCAGGCAAATTTGAATTAGGTGGTAACTGTAATTTCTATTTCTCATACGTAAGATTTTAATTTGAAATTTTTTCGAAGCTGTTAAATTATATTCTAATAATTTTGGTGTAATGATTATAATTAGGATATGTTTAGTTTATAGTTTGAACAGAATATAAATAAGAATGTAACTCTTTCACAGCAGACGTTTACTTGTTCATGCCAAGCTTACAAGGAAAAGATGCTAATTAATTAAGATTAAACTGCTGTTAATTTTATTAAAAGAATTTTTAATTCTGAAAGAACGATTTATAAATGAATTAAGTTTCCATTAATTACATTTAGAACAGAAAACAAGCCGAATAAATTAATTTAAAGTAGGAAAAATGTTCATAAATCTAGTTAATGGGTAGGATCAGTAAGAAGTATCGATCAGTAATTTTATTTAATCTTTGTAATAATTTTAGAAATTAACAAATATTAGTTAATAACAATTTAAAACCTTAATTTATACATAATTAAGCCTTGTAATAATTTCCCATCTAATTTAAAGAACAAGAAATTCTTATTGAATTATATACGAAGAGATTTTCTGAACGTTATTTTAAGATTTTAACAGCTTTTTAAAGATTAAAAATATATTTATCTTCATTATACACGTGTATGATACCGGGCTTGTTTGAAAGTAGGCATAGCCTATAGTTTAATTTCTATTAACTTATTCAGTTATCTACAGGACAGTTTCATGAGAATAATAAAGATAAAGATTCCATTTTCAGATTTAATCAAGATGAAACCTAAGCAGTTCATCCCGTGATGCGGGACAGAAATCTGATTTTATTGGCGGTGGTGTTGATCGTCAAGATGTGTAACGGAAGAGATGATCCAGATGATGATGACAAGCAACAGGCGAGTACAAAAGCAGTTCATAAATTATTATTATTTAAGCTATAATTCAAATTGGGTAAGTCGCGACTAAATTTTGTATAAAAACAATCAAATTAATACAGCAAATAGCTTTAAGAAATTCGAAACGGAAAAAAATAACGCTCAGCTAATATAACGTCTCTATCTCTTTAATTTCCTGATAATAATTTATTAATTAAAACTTTAATAAAGTCTGTTATAAACAGAATCAATTAATCCAATTAATTCCATAATTAAAAGCTTCCAAACCATCCAAATTTCATTTCTCATTAAAATACGTCAAGACATTATTCAAGATTTAATTAAAAAGATTAAAAATCCTATAGAAACATCTATAACAGGCCTGATCTATAACATTCTTACTGGAGATATTTTTCATTTCAAAGACTCGGATTAATTATCAGAAAAAATTTTACTTCGTGTTAATCTCTAAAAGAACTGAGGAAGAAGCATTCTTCGCTTAACTCATATCTAAAGAACAAAAAAAAGCTATCAAAATTTTTACTTTTTTTTTCATTTATTTAGAAAAGAAAAATACATTATTTTCATTAATCAAATCATCAATTAAATATTTCAGAATCTTGAATGGAGAAGACGACAATATATCTGTTACAATTAAAAAAGCGCTAACAGAATTGTCTCCGAAATAATTTATTGCCCATATTATTTTAAATATTTTAAAAGGGAAGCCATACAATAAAATTTATTCTATTCGATTAATTTTATTATATGGCTCCCTTTTATAGAATACAATTTTCATCATAATCTTTATTTCTCTTAACTGCTGGAAACAATTAGAACTTTATAAAAGCGACGAGTCATAGTAGTAATTTCCTATACCATTTTATCGTCTATGGCTTATTTGAAGGCAATTTTAGGTTCTCTCTGGAGAGAGTACTTAAAAATTGAACTTCTTGGATTAAATTATTTATCTATTGATAATAGAATTTTTTATTGTATTTTTTAGATAGTTAACTGGGATAAAGAGAAGCAAGAAAGTAAAGATGATCTGTTGGATTTGATCGAAAAAACCAGCAATTTGCAAATGTGTTTCGAAAAGAATCCCTATCAAGTTCTTTCTATCGACTTTCCAGTTCATTTATTCAGCACCGTCAGCCAAAAAGTCGATTTAGGGGCTAAACTATTGGGAGAGTATTATCCAAGAAGAGAAGAGAGTAAGTCATTAAAAATAAAGACTCTAAATTCAATTTTATTCGTAGCTATTCTGCAGTATTGCTTTTCCTATAACTTAAACTAATCAAATCGAATTCTATAGATTCTAGTCTAAGCTAACACAATTTAAACATTTTACTTATATTGTAGGCTACAGTAGCTCGTTTGAAAAGTTTTCTTTCTTATCGTAAAAGCAATCATTTTGAAATATTGATAAAGGTTATGAAGCAAAATATAAGATATTCGAATGGCTTAACCTATTATTTGAGAAAATGAATATGCGAGACGAATTTCTAATGATCAATTCTGCATTGTCATTAGAAACAATATCGAAAAACGGATCTGTGTTTTCCAAGTGTAAATTGCTTTGAAGTGAACCGTACTTAGTACTGTAATATTTTAACTTTAATAAAACTGGAAAAGATTATTTAAAAAATGGGATATTTTTCATACAACGTTTAAATATCTTAAAATTACTCGTTTTACAAAAGATACATGTCAGTGTCTAATGAGCAAAATAAACCATCCCCCCATATTAACAATGAAAAAACACCCAATTAAAAACAATAAACATGGAAATGAAAAATATAAGTTTATGTTTAAAATTTTCTTATTTTAAACATAAACTTATATTTATTATTTCAATGGCAATAATTTTTAAGCAATTGTTGTCACAATGTGTTTTTTACCGTACATTTGTAATGCACATTGAAAAATATTTCAAAGTACAAATACAAAACTTCAATCGATAGAAAACCGACAAAACATTCACATAACACACTAAATTCGCCTAAAATTTAGTTTAAAATAAGTAAATCCTAAAAATAAGATTGTTTATAGCATTGCGTACTTTATAGAATAGTTGTTTTGCTGTATGGAAGTTTTCTTCTTCTTTTCTTACAGGACTATTTTATTTATTACTACTTTTTTTCTCTAAGGAATGATAAAGTCATTCGGAGAAGAAGTATTACAATCGGACGAATTAATATTTGGAACGAGAGTTCTTTGGATAGCAAATGGATCGTTACAGTCTCCTGGTTTATACTCGTCTGTTTGGAAGCCTATTCGTGGCAATGATAAGAAGCTGGAAAGGTCAACCACGTATAACGAATCTGTAACGGACATGCCTTGGTTGAACGAGAAAGCCGACGGCAATAGCAAGATACAAAATACTGATTTAGAAAACGGTAGTTATACCACAAGCCAGTGGACGCATCCTTACTTCAGCTGCACTTTCAAAAAATGGATTATATCATATACTGTTTTAGTTTATGCCAATCAAAACCTTGAAAACACCCGTTACAAAACAGAAATGGAAGAAAGGTTTGGCCTATTTGATATTTGAAAATTTTACTTTAAAAATTTATTGATTACTTAAATAAATATTGATGATTATAAATCTATTAAAACGAAACGAGTGTTGGAATCTAATATATTTTTGATTGTTAAATTAAAATAGACTACGTTAGATTTCGGCATTTGCTTTATAATTTTCATATGTAAATATGAAAATTACAAAACATTAAAAAAAATTGTTTTGTATAATAATCATTTTGTCAGTCTCTTGTAATTTATAAACAGAATCTAAGTAATTTTTTAATATACAATACAGCTGCAACATAAAAATTTAGTCCACCGAATGGAAAATTATAATTTTTAAAAAAGTTTTAAACAATTTAATAAATTTTCCAGATCGATTTTAATATATTTTTGAAGCAATTGTATACTTACAATGCAATACACAACTATCGAACTTATCTTTCAATAAACAATAGTAATTTGTGTATGCGCTACACAATTACTATACATTTAAATCTTATGTTACAAAAAAACTTCTGTTTCAAGCTAAACTAATTTCAACTCTTATATCAGGGATTAACTTTACTTTAGATTTAAGTTATACTCTATTTATGAAATTATTTCTGAATATATTAATTTTTTTTTGGTTTAATTAATGATAATAAATATAAGCACTTTTTCAATTCATCACAGATTGGTTTAAAATGCAATTATAAATATTATCTAAAGCTAATTTCGGATTTCATTTTAAATTATAGACAATAAAACATTGCATTCATAAAGTTTTTATCCATTTTTATATTTTTACAGATTGATTAAAGCCATTATGATCAATTATTAATCACTCTTTAAAATTCTATTGACATTATTCAATATTAATATATGCTAAATACATTAATTCAGAAAAATTAAATTTAGAATTAGTTAGATAAAAGAGTAAAAAAATTTGCATATTGAATGTGAAAAAAATGAAAATTTTCTGTAAAATTTACTTTAAAAATGATTTCTCTACATCACAGTAGCGTATAAAATTTTTATCTGTTATTTCCTAACAATCATTTTCATTAAACATCTGGAAAGACCTTATTTATATTTTGCTTGCACAGATTTATTTTAATGATGCCTTTCCTGTCGTAAAATTTTTTTTATGTATTGTTTGGTTGGCTGATTCGATAAACAAACTCATAAATTCAGCAATAGGGACGAGTGAAGAGCGATCGAATTTTTTAAAAATTTTGATCACGATTATTTAAGTTTTGATTAACGTAGTTCTGCCATCTGTTGCAAAAATTAAATACAAATCTGTTTTATATTCCAACTAAATTATCCAAAAAGATTTTGTAAATGTATATAAAAATAAAAGACCAAAACAAAAACAAAACAACTGAAATGAAAATGAAATTTTCTTTTCAGTTTTGCTTTTAATTGTATTTATATTCACGAATCTAATTGAAGCCAAATAGTTTATATTCTTGTTTATAATAATTTATTCACTTTAAATTGTTACTTTTAGTGAAATCAATCTCTTAAGAACTACATTATTGTATTATAGCATAAAATTAACTAAAATATAAGTTAAATATTTTCATTTTGGATTCTTGTATCATGATTTTCTTACATAAAGCTTTTTGACGTCAAATAATCAATAGCATTAAAGGTGATGGTTAAGTGATTCGACCTTTTTTTGTTTTATGCTTTAATCAAATTTACAACTGTTAATAGCAGTTCGTGTCTACTAGCAAGAAGACTAATAATCATTATTCGCTTGTTGTTTTGAATGGAATTGGATTTTGATTATTTTAAAAGGTTAATTTTCTTTTAGCATTTAAATCTACGCAAAATTTACATGCAGATAGCTTACTTGAAGTGTTCAATTTTTTACGGCTCAAAGGCTAATCAATTTACTACAGCGAATACTGAGTTATTGGATAAAACTTCTATCCTTGTACTTAAAATGAAATTTGGATTTTATTTATATTAGTAAAGTATAACAATTTTAGAAACGAATTTATTTATTTTTTACAAAATAAATTTATTGAATGCTCTTTTAATGTTATTGTAGATATTTTGAAACTAATTTTTAATTCAACTTATTTTAGAATTAATTCTCACAGCAATAAAATTACACGTTATAAGTATCGCTAGATAAAAACAGAATTTTAAGAAAATTTTTAAGGAGTTACTCGTGAAAAAAAAACTTGTTCAAAGAATTTCCTAACTAAGATACTAACATGCAAGATGCAAAGATTACTAATTCACTTCAATATATGTGGAACGATTAAGTTAACACTTGTCTTTTTTTCTTTTGTAAATTACAAAAATCACTTAACAATATGAAATAAATTTCGCTAGACTAAATCAGCATTGTAAAATCCAATCATTTCGAAATTCTCAAATAATTGTAAGAGATCCTATTAAGACTTCTTTCCAAACTGTTCATGGAAAGTTAAAATACTGACATCATTCTCACATACTAATTCTTCTCAACTATCTCGTTGCAGTTTAAGCTGTTCAATAATAATTAAAATGAAACAGATAGCCCATTATATGACAATCCTCACAAAATAATCAAATTCCATCTTATAATTTATAACATGGAAGAAAATAAGTTTATCCTTTTTCCTCATACAACTTCAATTTCTTACAAAATTCTTCAACATGCACAAAATAGATGGGAAAGATCTTTCAGCTCCTCGCTCTTTCAGCATTTAAATAATAAATTAAACTGACGAGAAAGACAAAAATACGAATAAATTTCATACTTTTTATTATAGAATTTTTTCAGTTCTTGGTTTTAAAGAAATCGATATTTTTCACCTAAAATATGTAAAAAAATCATTATACTTGGCATTCATTTTCTCCAAAAATTTAGAGTTGATGTTTTTTAAGTACAGGTACTGTACAGTAGAACCTCGTTTATTCGGATAATAAAACAATCTGTCTCATAAGCATGAAAGATAAACATAAGGAAAAACTATAAACTAGAACTCCTAAGTACACTCTTGCCCGGGTGTAGTGCTACAGCTTGCAATAATAGAATAGAAATTTTTCTATGAATCAGCACATGATGTTCATTATTATGGATGCCGTGGGAACATCCTTTAAGTTTACGTAATAAATTTTGATATTTATATTAAATTTATATAACGATAAAGTTTGTTTTATTAACAAGCTTGTTATATAGTTTTAACTAACGATAAATATTATATTGTTTTATTATTAAAATGATGACAAATAAAGTCGAAAGATTACGTGTCAGATATTTTTTATATGTAACGAGCAATTATTTATTGTGACATCGTCATAATGCCGGACTGCAATTTTTAATTTATTTAATTTAAAATACCGGTATTTGCTCTCTACCTCAAAGTAGTTGTGGCTTGCCCCTGTAAATCATACTTTTCCTTTAACAATAGAGTCGGTGCCGGTCATCTATCTAACACCTTTAGGGGAAAATTTTTGAATTGAAATAACATGACTTCCGGTTTGCATCGGAAGCTCGTATATAGTTATGGTTTACCTATCTGGTCTCGCCTTTCATCTATCTCTGTACTCAAGATTAAGGAAAGACAAACGGACAAACGTACGGACGAGTGGGAATTTATAGGTCTACAATTTTTTTCAAATTGCAGCCCAATAATCAATGTAAAAATGAACGAAGCTTCAAAAGGTTTTTTACGCAAAGAGCAAAAAGTGACAATAGACAAGACTTATTCTTCTTATTTACTTTATCTTTGAATTTAGTTTTCTCAACTGCAGACTAAAAAAAATATAAATTTGAGAATAACAGACATATATTATCTTATAATTGTTCACATTTCTTTGGAACTGTATGCTGGATCGCTTATATTTATTTCGCTAAAATAATTGCAGAAATGTGGCAACAACTGGCATTTTTTACGACCGACTAGCCATTAAAAACAAATTCGCTTAGAGCACTCTAACTAAAAAATTCTAAAGACTTGACTTAATTCTGAAATTAAAAAAAAAAAAAAAAAAATCTGAAATTAAAAAAAAAAAAAAAAATCGAAATTAAAGGATAGACAGAACATCTTATTTTGAAAAAATAAATTCAATTGTAACTTATACAGGAAATTGCTATTTCAATTTATTTCAGCCGGTGATTGAAGAGGAGTTTTCTCCGTTTTGTTAGACGTAATCTTCCCGATCTCTTTCGAAAATGTACGAAATACAGGGCCCCATCTGAATTTAAAATAAAATCTATTGATATTATAAACGTATCGACAAAATCAAATCACGAAAACTCTAGAATGAACTGAAATTTTTAACGTTATTTGTAATAAATGATTTATTTTTTGAGTTATATATAGGCTTTATAAAATATTTTTATAAATCAAACTACATGCAAATTGGAATTTATATTCTGATTTTTAGTTTCTAAATGAATATTTAATCAATACTGATATCATAAAAGTAATAACAATGTTCTAAATCTATTAAATAAAATAATTTTATAATTTTGTTTTTCCATTTACTAAACTAAAAATTTATATAATAATTTTTATTGATGTAAAATATCAAAAAATTAAATATATCCCAATCAATTTATAAAAATTATGATGCTTTATCATTATTTTTTGGTATGATATTGGGCTGCAATTTGAAAAATTTGTAGACCTATAAATTCCCACTGTGGTCTGTACATCTGTTTATCTGTCTTTCCTTAATCTCGAGAACAGAGTTAAACAGATGAAATACGAGACCAGATATGTAAACCTTAACTATATACGAACTATGGAAGTCGTTATTTCAATTCAAAAATTTTCCCCTGAAAGCAGTTAATTAATGACTCTATTGTTAAAGGAAAAGTATGATTTACAGGGGCAATCCACTACTAATTTGAGGTGAAGAGCATATATTTTCAGTTAAATAAATTTAAAATATGATTAAAAACTGCAGCCCAGCATTGTGACAATGTTACAATAAATAATTGCTGGTTGAAATTTCACTTTGTATATTTTTAAGAAACAGTTGTAAATATATACATATACTGTATATTATTTTGAAAGTATGTAAAAACCTTATAAAATATGATGCTTTTATATAATAATTATACCAACAGTATAATATATAATAAGACATTATTACAATTGATTTTTATAAACAGATAAAGTATGCCTAATGTAGAATCATTTAAAATGAATACAAATTAAAACAATAAATGCAAAAAATATAAATATTATAAATATAACAATATAAAATAAAAAAAGAATATATTAATGACTTATTTAATAAAATTTTTAAGAAATACAAAAAATAAACGTATATATACATGTTTCATTCATTTCATTCAAGTTAATTCGAGTAAGAATTATTGATAAAATAATTTTTGAAGTAATTAATTTTAATTGTAATTAAATATTAATCAATTTCATTACAAGTAATTAAAAGATTCAAAAACAAAATAAAGTGTATCTAATATATTACTGTCACAAATATTAACATATTCCAGCATAATTAATAATTTATCATCATTAAAAATTGAAGAAAATTTGTAAAAAGGTAAATCAACACAAGATAATGTGAACTATCCAATTTACAAAAATAATTTATTTTATATTATTGTTTTGCTAATAATAATAATTTATTTATTTTTTATCTTTATTGCACTAAAATACTATATTTCTTTAAAACAATTGGAAAGTATTAAAATACCTTTACTATAAATTTCATAGTTAAAAAAAAAGAAAGAGAATAAATTTGTTAAGAACAAAAATCACAAAATAAAATCAAATACAGTATAATTTTACTGGATTAAATAAGTTTTCCTATGTTGTTAGTATTTCATTATCAAAATATAATACTTTAATAAAAATGTACCCAGTAAAATTTTTATAACTGTAACATGCTAATTGAAAAGTAAGAAATAAGATTCTCATAAAATGTTTCCAAATTCTTTCAGAATAAAATGAATCATTAATTATAATTAAAATACTTTACAAATAGTTTTAATATATAAAATCACTTAAATTTCACGTATAAACTTCATAGTTCTTATTTACAATCTGAAATTAATTAATGTTTATATTATTATTAGAGAAAATTAAATTCATTTTAAGTTAAATGACTTTGTGAATTATAACATTGGAATAATAATTCCATTGTTATAATTCACAAACAAAGGATAATTCAGAATGACAGAAGGAAACACAAACTGCTTATTTAAGATAACTAAAATTGAATTTTTATTAGAAACATTTTCATCCTACTGTCTGCCAGCATCAGTCCAACTCAATATTCATTATATATAAGTAAAACATGTTTATAACACTAGATGATAAATATTCAGAAGCAATTCAAACATCAATTTGTGACTTTTTACATTTATAATTGTAAAATATAAACAATAGAAATTAAATTATGATAATTCATTCAAAATATGTTAATTTTTTAGGTTAGTGGGTCTTATCAGTGCTGATGTGGATGTCTCAGATATAGACATAAATCAGTGTGACACACCTACTAATTCCTTACAGATCTCAGCTTTTCTCCATACACATAAATGTGACAATGTTACTAGTCAGGTAAATTTATAAATTTTTTAAGAATACATTAATATACCTTTTGATTTTAAATAATTATTTTTCTTTTAGTGTATATTTACTCCAGGTTATGGCTGGACTCGAGGGTCATATAAATGCCAATGTAGGAATAGTTATTATTCTCCAATGGCCAGTCCTATCTTCAATGGTACCCTAGTGGAATATTCCTGGAAACAGAAAATTATGGTCAATAGGTAATTATAATGATTAAGTGCAACAGAAATAAAGACTTAAAGGAACGTTCAAGCATAATTTCTGTCATTTTGAATCCCTCTCCTCCCTGTAAGCAATTATAAGAATTATGTTGATCCCTACTTAACCCTTACAGGGTCAGTGTGTATGGAAAAAATCTAACATCTTTTTTATGATAAGCTTTTTAATGAGGAAAAAATAATAAATGAAACATTTCTAATTTTTAATCTGGTAAATACTAATCTGAGATCTCTTTTTCAAACTTTATTTTGTCTCTTCATTTTATTTTCCAGATAATTTTTGCTACCTTTGTTGGTCTACATTTTTATTATTTTTTTTAAATTTTATTACTATGTTCTATTTATGTACTACCTAGTTCTAAGTTTCCAGGAAGCACTGGTTGCTTCTTTTAGCTAGATATGGTAATTTTGTCTTAAAACAATTTGACCAGTCAATTTAATTAATAGATTAAATTAATTTGATATATTAATTTATTATTATTTAAATTAATTATTTTATTTATTTTTGAAATACTTCAAAAAAATTTGTTCTTTGTTAAAATGATCGTTTATTTCCACTAGTCAAGTATGCATTTCCATTTTAATTTGTTTCCTTTCACTTAATTTGTTAGATGAACAATAAATATTGTCTCACCTAACTTCATCTAAAAACTCATTATCATTAGTAGAAAGAAAAAAATAGAATATTTTTGCTTTCTACTAATGACAACTTAATTTTCTGTGAGGTATATGGTGGTGAGGGTTATCCACACAAACTTATTGTATATTTTTTCACTAAAATCACAAATAGAAAAATAATAATTTTCAAATTTTTTATTATTTTGAATTTATTTTTAATTTACTTATCCAGTAACTGAAAAATTTAATATAATTTTCAGCTTGCATTTATGTTAATATACTTTTTAAAACTGAAAATTTTACATATAACATTTTGGATCTCTTACTAACCAAATACTATACATTATTATTTACCAGCAAGTCCTCACTTAACTTCAGTTTCTGAGAACTTATTGATAATATTAAGTGAAATGATAAATAAAACTAGTTTTACCATAGGCTAAATGATATAAACAAGATATAATTCAGTTATTATTATTTTAATTGAATCATGATTGCAACCTCCAGCATTTATTTTCTATCTCAAAGAACCAATTTTATTGTTTATGAAGAAGATTCAACAACAATAATTGTGAATGATTACAAATGCACTTATATTGTTCAACATCATCATAATGAAACAACATTGAGGACTTGCTGTTTCTGTATTTAATACGAACATATATCATAATATTTCTAATAAAATTTATAGTCTGTCTTAATTTCATAGTCCTTCTTATGAGATGCTGTATGTATGCAAGTCATGCCAAGATGGATGCAACGTATGTGTTGATGATTCCCCTTGCTTATCTCATTACAACTGGGCCTTCCGGTAAATATAATTTTAAAAACTTGCTATTTAAATAAATTTAATGAATTTTTATATATAAAAATATTCATAAATAATGTTTTTATAGGATATCACTATTGACCATATCTGTGATCTGCATCATTTTGACTATTGTTTTAGCTGGATATGTTTACCGTTACAGAAAACTCAAAGTAATTAAAGTAGCCAGTCCCATATTTCTTTGCATAACTCTTCTAGGTTGTGCTATAATGTACAGTGAAGTAAGTGTTTCTATATTTATAATATAAAAAACCAAAAATCTACTGTTTACCATTCTCTTTCAGATATTTGTATAACAATAAAAAAATTTTTTTAAGTTATTTCTTTCATTTTATTTATAGAAAGATTCATTCCATTATTCCTACAGATTTTACTATATTTATTATTTCAATAACATTTTTATTTGGCTATACCAGGGGTTGGCAGTTTGTCAAGTGAGAAGAGCCAAATTGTCATGAAAACAGGATAACAAAAGTACCAGAGAGCCGCATATTAATTTAAATGTGCGAAATACGACACACGACAGAGGCGCCTCTAGTGGCCGTTTTCGGCATAACGTTACATGGATGGACGGACACGCGTTCAATGGGTTATATATATATATATATATAGATATGCTTCAAATGCTACCACTCTTATGCGACTCATATTGATCAATGCGAGTGTGGTCATGTGCGGACGGAGAACAAGTCAAAGTTTGTTCGGCGGCTCTATCTCATAAACTCATAAGTTATAAGGCTGCGGTGAAATGAGGTGAGATGAAATTGGAGTTTATGTCCGAAGAGCCGCAAACGTCTATGCAAAGAGCCACATGAACCCGCGAGCCGCTAATTCTGACCCCTGGGCTATACTTTTCAATACCTATAAAAGTGTAGAACTGCATTAATTATCAATTTATTGTTCTATTAAACTTATTTATTTCAACTACCCAAAGATAACTTTATTGACAATATTTCTTTAAACTTTGTTGATGTGTATTTCATTTTCATTATTTTACCAATGCAAAGAAGTCATAATATAAATTTTTCAAAATAATTTCATCTAATAAAATTGTTTATATTAAAAAAATTATTAACAAGTTACAGCACAAAATAAATTACTGATATTTACATTTTTAACTATATTGTCTACAATATGAATAATAAGGAATTTACACTATATGGGCCAGATTCTAGTTAAAGTTTTTATTTTCTCAACACAAAGTTGAGTTAACATCAAATCTGATGTACACAATGTTCAGAAAGTATTTAAATATTATAACACTTTAGTTCTCGTTACACTCAGACATTTCGTCTTTTTGCAGCAATTATGTATTAGTCTAATTCACAAATTTTCTAACATGACAATCCTACTACCAGTAGACAATTGAAAATACAGGGGAGAGGAAGTGCTAGTATGTGAGAAGTTTCTCAAATTTTCGTTTCGTATAATCACTGTCTTCTCTCTGTGCCAAATCCATTGACTTGGCACAGAGTCCATTGACTTTCGTAATTCTTCCTTTGTACAGTCCTGTTGTCCTGGTTGCCTTCATGTTCTTCCCATAATGACACTGAAAATGAAAGGGAGACACTCTCTCAACCACGAGTCAATATATACCCTCTCCTGCTTCCCCGTTGAGTTTATTGTTCCTCCAGGAAATAATGGGTGATGGAACATTCTGGAGGCTTATAAACAAAGGTTTCATAACTGACAATTTAATTTTATATAAAGAAATGACAAGCAATTGTCACAATATAACAAATTTGAAGAAGACTAAATAAAACTTCATTATAGTAATACTTCATAATAAATAGTATGGCATTTATTCCCAATTTCAAAATGCATATGGCATTTTTCACTTAACTAAAATGTAGAAAACATTCAGTTTTGTGTTTAAAAGATAAAAACAGAATTAAAAAAAAATGTGAAAATTAGAATATTACTTACAATACAAGAAAACAATGCCTCTTCCTTCCAGCATCATACACATGATTGTCCATGTGTATGATGCTGAAAGGAAAAAACATTGCTGAGGCACTTGCTTAAAAAAGTATTATTTCTCTTTGAACTTTGGTCCAAAGAACACACGCACTTATCATAATTTCTTCTTCATTTCATCTAAATGTTCATTACTGACATCTGCATTATGTTGAAAACAAAATCATGCAAAGTTGCAAGATTACAAGCAGCATTTTTTAATGATACCTTTGTGGGTTTCTCTGTGTCTTCCACTTCTGATTTGTCACTCCATATATTCATAATAGAAGCAATATTGTCTTTATTAGTCATGTCACATTCTGTCATTACATTGGAATCAGCAGAAAAGTAGTCTTCAAACACAACATTTTTGGGCACAAGTCCATTTTGCTACAAATGAAACCAAAGATCATCTTCCATTTCTGTCACTACCCTACCAAATCCAGATTGACTCCAATGATTTTTAATAATTTCCATTGTGATCTTGTATCAGGCATCAATTAGCATCTCACATGCAGTTCCAAAATCTATAGTTGTTGTCTGATTCACTTCCAAAGTTAGCAAGATATGATGCAAGACTCATTTTCTGTATAACTTCTTCCTCAATGAATTTATGAGTTCTTGGTATAACTTTGAAGTAACATTTGGAGGCAAATGACAAATTTTAATTTACTTCAAGATAACATTTGTTGAATGAACTGTGCAATTATCCATAACCAGAAGGATCTTAACCCTTTCTGTAATTTCATTATCAAATTCAATTATCCATAACCCTTTCTGTCATTTCATTATCAAATTCTGTGAACTACTCGCCAGACAAATCTGAAGTCATCTGTACTTTCTTATTAACACAATATGAAATGGGCAAACTTCTGTAACTTTTAAAACATCTTGTATTTTTTGACTTTCTAATCACCAAAAGCTTTTGTTTGTTAGAGCTATCCATTTTAGTAGTCATCAATACTGTCATCCTGGCTTTAGATTTCTTTCCACTAGAGAAGTTTTTGCCCTTTTGTAGAGAAATGTTTTATCTAGTGGAAGTTGGTGATGAAGACCTGTTTTATCAGTGCTATATTCATCAAATCGACTATACAGTACTGATCAATCATGTCCTTTTTCGATTACAGCCATTTCATCACAATGCAGTCTACAACTTCAGCACTTTTTCCACAGATACTTTTGGAATCAATTCCATGCCAATCTTTAAAATGCTGAAGTCATCCATTTCATCCATCCAGGCTCAAAATCAGGCTTTCCTAAAAGTTTAACAAAGTCTTTAGCTTTCTCCTTCAAAATCAATCCACTGATGAAAACATTTTTACTTTGTACTACTTTAAACTACTTGAACAAATCATCTTCAACATCTTTATGAGCTGCACTATGAAACTTCTCTCTTGCTGGCACAGCATTCCTGCTGAATTTCTCCAAGAGCACTGATCTGTTTTTCAGGACAGAAAAATTAAAAGCACAGTAATTAAATATAAAATCAAATAATAAAATTATCCATTAATATTGCTGAAGTGATGAAGATAAATTTTGGTTTGGTTCATTATCAGTATTCTTAATTATCTTTAAAGAAGATTTAACATCTTGACAAATAATTCACCGGAATGCTGAATTTCTTCACAGCTTCACAGTTTTTCAGCTGTGCTCCATCAACTAACTTAATGCTGTCTATCTTCATCTCCAATGACAGTTTGTCCACAATCAGCCATTGTGGTCAAAACACACTGCAATGAATTTGCACTCTCTTCTCAATAAAACAAAATCAGAATAAATTAAATTTTGAGCAGTACAATCACATTTACTTTCTTTGATTTATTGTTTGAAATTGGTCAATATAGCTGTCAGGATCAGAGAATCATAGACCTAGAGCATAGAAACAGGATATGGTCCTAATCATTTTGAAGTCTAGAAGTACAAAGGAATGGTCAATTTGCTGATTAGACATCAAGTTGATAACCTGACTGTCTACTGTGGCTCCTTAATGAAAGCAAAAAGGGGTAATAAAATGGCATCTTTGATTTGGTCATCTAGCATTAGTCATAGGCCTAAACATGTAAAGCAAGAAGAAATCAAACAGGATTGCCAGATAAACAAAAACGAACTTTTAGTTATTAAGTTTATTTCTTTCTCAGAATAATTTCTGTGACATTCAGTTTTAAGCAATAAGATTGGCTTTCCCTTGTCCTGCAATTTTTGGCAGAGCATTATATCAATGAGTGCAAATATTCATTATATCCAATGTACGACTTTGTAACACTTTGTAACATCCAAACATTTTAATATGGGCTTTATATTGAAGATTCAAAGGGACAGAGAAAAGTTTGCATTAACTGATAATTCACAATAACTGATCTCATTATATGCAAGCTTGATTGCATATAAAATTAACTAAACATGGAACTGGTTACTATCTTGCCAAAATATTTATCTTACCTCATTGTTTAATTATTTAAGCATAAAGTAATAAATAATTTTTAAGACATCTAAGGATACACAAGTTTGAATCAAGAAAAAGAAGAAAGCTTCGGTTATATAAAATAAACATAATAACAAAAGAGGTAAATATTAGTTTCAACAATAAAAAAGAATAATTTTTCATTCGTTCACAAAAGTGATATTTTATAACAACTGATCAAATGGAGTTAATTAAATGCAGCCACCAATGTCAAAATAAAAATTTTAAAAAATTAAACCAAATGGATAAATGCAAGAATAAATCAATTGATGGATAATGTATTACAACAAATTTTGTGCTTTACTGCTGCCTTACGTACTGTACTCTATTGTCATAGCAACTCAAATTCTTTATGTGTACAACATATAAAGAAATAGCAGCCATTTAAGTAATGATCTTAAATGAATGTCTTTGGATATTATTTGAAATGCCAAATACTGTTTACTATCTGTTGTATGCATTTTTATTCACTGTTACTGAAACAAACTGAATTTTGTAAATTATTACATTAAAAAGATTATATTATTATTAAACATTGGAGAAAAGATGAAATATTTTTAACAATTTAACATTACTTTTTTATTTAAATATTAAATTGATGATGATCTAGAACTTCATGGTGACTGAATGTCAATAGCTATTGTGGCTTGGTTGAGCCTTGTTTCTTTTTTTTTTTCGTTTCTCTTTCTTTCATAAACTTCACTTCTGGCCTTTGTTTTGTTGTTCTCTAGTGATCCATTGGATCATTGCATCAACCAATTTCATTGTTTCTGTTTGCTTTGTTCTGTTGGCTTGGTTGAGCCTTGTTTCTTTTTTTTTGTTTCTCTTTCTTTCATAAACTTCACTTCTGGCCTTTATTTTGTTGTTCTCTCGTGATCCATCGGATCATTGCATCAACCAATTACGGTTGATGCAATGATCCGATGGGTCACTAGAGAAAAGGGCGTGACACCAGATCGGTCAAAGGGGACTGACACATGAGGAAAGGGGGAAAATTGTCATTCTTAGAGAAGAGCTGAGAAGGAGAAGACCTAGACGTCAGTGATTATGGAAAGAAGACTCCTCTGGAACAATGGACTTGAGGTGCATTTTTTTCCAGTCACTCCCTTTTGATGCTTTTCTTTTCCTATCAAAAATCAATTCTTCTAATTCTTATTAACCCCATCTTAATCTAGGGCCCTTCATTTTGTAAATTTAGTTAAGTTATAGTTAAGATAGATGTAAATTAGAATAAGTTCTTTGTTTTGTCGGCACGTAGGAATCAACCGGTTGTATTGTTACGGTTGGTCCCAAGGACCTTTGTAATTTCCTACTTTATAAATGTGTATACAGTAATTGTATATTCGGAAACTATTGGTATTAACTGTAAATAATAAACTTTTAATTTTATCAATGCTGAGTGATTCTTTGGATTCTGTCATTTGCTCTCAGACACACTGTAAATGGCTAACAAGCCATGATAGCTACTAACATTCAATCACTAAGAGTTTTTTTTTTTTTATTCAATACAAATTGTGTACATTGAATAATCTTATTTATTGAGAATTTTAAAAAGAAAACTAAAAAGAGTATAAATATAAAATGAATATAAAAAGTTTAATGTCTCCATTTTATCAACTATATAAATATTCTTTAGTTCATATCAATGAAAGAAACCATGATACAGAAAACATCTTGCATTTGGTGAAAGTAAAAATGCATTTTCATTAACTGAATAATTTAGTCATTGGATAAAAACTATATTTAAATTTTTAAAAAAAATGACATTTGGAAGCATTCAATAATTCTATAAAAATCACTTAATTTAGTATCACACTTTCTTTGGCAAAATATCACTAACATGTTAATAATTACAAGTATTTTTACTTTTTGTATGCAAAGATCTTGTACAATCTTGTAATTTAAAACTGTGTATATATATATGGTTTTACGTTTTTATGTTTCAAAATGTAATTCCAGTACAAAAATATATTCAAAAATACAAATCAGATACACCATTTAAAAATTTTCAAAGGTATTTTTGCTTATTTTAAGATAATATCAGTCAATTTTTTTGAGATAAGTGATAAATTTGGTCTTCACAAATGGGTTTTATCTTTTTATTTTGATAACAGCATGACTGTCAAGAAAGGAGAAAAGATGATCAACTTTCTTTTCATTTAAAAAACAATATTTAATTCATCCCTTATAATTTTTAAACAAAGTTCCAAACAATACTCTTTGTGTAGTCACAGATTCATATATCATGGACCAAAAGAGAAAATAGATATGTGGGAGTCAGTGCCTTCATAAATAAATAAGTGTTGTTCAGGTTTAATAGATGGTAAATTAGGCTGCAGTTCAGAAACTTCTCTCTGATTAGAATATTGGTGGGGATGAAGATGAGTACTTTGTCAGATATTCTCTTCACAATGAAAACAAGGACTTTACAGTAAGAATGATCAATGACTAGTTGGCAGTGGATGAGGACAAGGAATTCTGTTGTTCTCTCTTGCAAACTGTTCTGTTCAAATTGTATTTTCATAGTCTTTTTAAGTTACTCATTTATTCATAATCTGTCATTTTCATGTACAATATATCTGTTATGAACATCTAATTCAATTTCAATGTTTTAGATGGCTGCTATATTTCCTGTTCTGGAAGTTTACAGCTGTGTGGCTACAAAATGGACTAGACATATGGGTTTCTGTATAACTTATAGTGCACTTCTACTTAAAACTTGGAGGTAAGTTATCTTAAATATAAATATAAACCAATGAAATCTAAAATTATGATTAATTTCTCCTTACAGAGTCTCACTCACTTATCGAGTAAAATCAGCTCACAAGTTAAAGCTAACAGATAAGCAACTTCTGCAATGGTTATTTCCCATCTTATTAGTGATGGCTATTTATTTAGGTACATGGACAATCTCATCTCCACCTGAAGGAATATATATATCAGATTGGGATCATTTAAAATTTCGACAATGTGATTTTAATTGGTGGGATCATAGCATAGCCATAGGTTAGCTTCTAATAGATACATTTAAATTAAACAAAAATTGCTTGCATTTTTAATGATCATTTGGCTTCCAGGTGAATTTTTATTTCTGTTGTGGGGTATACGTGTGTGTTACAATGTCCGCCATGCTGAGTCTTTCTTCAATGAAGCCAAACACATCAGTTGGGCCATCTACAACATCACAATTGCCAATATTATCATGGTGATGATTCAGTAAGTCAAAAATTTGTTAAATTATAATTAAAGTTTTTAAATGAATTTTCTATATAATATAACAATATGTTCTAACATCATTATTCTTTAGGAATTCCTTAAATCCAAAAATGATGGCAGTTATTGATGGGCTAGTATTTTTGGAATCCACAGATTCCAAAAATAATAGCCCATCAACAACTTTATTTTACCTATTGAGTAATAGACTAGTGTTTTTGGAATCTGTGGATGTGATAATTCCTAGAGAATAAGTGTTTGAACCAGTTATATTGATATTTGAAAAATGGAATAAAAACAGAAAGTTAAATTCTATATAATATTTAAGAACATTTCAAAAGATTCATAAATGCTTGATTCATACTTCACCTCCTGCAAAATCAATTATAATTGGAAGAATTCCAAGCTAAAGCAGTAACTGGAGAAAAAATAATACTTATTTGGCTGCCAACAGCTAAATCACGTTTTCAAATCTGAATTTATCATAATTCACATCTTTCTTTTTTTAACTATGTTGAAGAGATCATTTATTACCACAATAAAAGTAAAAAAATAATCTCTTTTATTGTAGCATTGTCATTTTGCCAACAGCTGGTCCAGACATCAAATATTTATTTGGATTTATTCGCACTCAGCTTAGCACTACAGTCACAGTTATTCTTATTTTTGGACCAAAGGTAAAAAGAAAATTTTTTAGATGTTTTCTTTATTAAATACATTTATATCATAAATCTTTACACAATAGTTCTATCGAGTAATTAGAGGGGAAGGTGATACTTGGGATAATAGAGCCAGAGCAAGAGGAGTAACAGCTTCCTTTTCATTAAATGGAGTTGGTCTAGTTCACGAGGAAACAACTGATCTTTATCAAGAAAATGAAGAATTAAAGGTATATTAAATTAATCATTTTAAAGCTAGTTATGTAAAATTGAAATAAATTTTATTCATTTACAGGAAGAGATACAAAAATTAGCAGCACAGATAGAGTTCATGAAGATTGTTCATATGGAAATAAATAACCGTCATCTTAAACCAAAACATGGGAACTTTTTTAGTCAGACTAGTACAACACAAAGTCCCATTATTAAGTCTATGTACATGAAATTTGATAGTACAGATTCTCCAGGATGTCATATATCCCCAGCTGCAGAACTAGTAAGTGAAAGGGTCTAGTTATAAAAAAAAAAAACTGCTTTATACAACCGAGCTTCAAATTTTGCTGACAGGCAATCAACGATTATTTGTATTATGATTGCCAGAAAACTGATTTATTTTGATGTGTGAAAATATAGGTAGAATTCCAAAGTTCACTTTTTTTCAAGTCTACAAAATCTTCGTGCTTCCAATGACATCCTTTGCTCCTCATTTTGCCTGTGTGAATTGATTAACGTATTTACCATTTACTTGTCCCAGTTCATAAAAGCAAAAAATCAAATAATGGGACCATAACAATGTTGTATTAATGTATATCAGTATGCATAGAATGTATTATAAATAATTTATTGGGAAAATGTCTGTCAGTTATTATTATATTTGTGATTAATTTTTAGTGATTAATTTGTGAATCATTTTCTACATAAATCCAAAATTCTTGGAGGTGTAACACAGAGTACCTTGAACTACAGCATGCCATGGTCCATATGCAAACTTTTCAGCTAAGCAATCTGACAAGAATTTTTTCAAATATTCTGAGATCTTAAAATCATTGAGTGGGAAAAATATAAGAAGTGTATGGAAATGCATTCTATTTCAGAAGCTTTTGTATATAAATTGTATAGGAGTTACATCACATCGAGTTTTCTGTTTTAGATTATTATTAATACTATTAAAAAAATTGAATTTATTTCATCATCATCATAAGAATCATGATGTGTAGATGTACATAAATTCAAATATATTTATAAAAGTCAGCATAAATTACTGCAGTTCCATCTGTCATATCTGAATTGTTGTTTTATAAATATATTGCCAGAAGTTGAAAGTTGAATCTTCATAATTTTGATGCTGTTGAAATCTTTTGTTAAAATATAAAATAAAATAAGAGAATAAAACTTTCATTTAATTTATGTTATTTTACTTATTTATGATGAGTTAAAAATTATTTTTATGTAAAATAGTAAAAACTAATACAAAAGGATAATAAATTTTTAATTTTACTCAGTGAGTTCTTTCATTCTAGTTCATAATTACAGAATATTTTTGTCATCTTACTAAAAAAGTTATTAATAAAAACTTAATATTTTAAAATTATTAAGCAATTTTTGTGTTTTTTTAAATAAAATTATACTAACAAGCTTCCATGTGTATAATCCACAATGGTGCATCCATGCAGAAAATTTCTAGAATGAAAATAAGACGCATCGCCACTGTATATCCTTTATCCATGACACAATGGCTGTTCCACAAGTGAGTTTGTAATTGCAATTTTAAATTGGAATACAACCTACATTCTTTCAAATTGTCTTTTAAAAACAGATTATAGGCACAAAAATATAGCACTCTTATCCATAACACATTGAAAATATATTCATGAAATAATTAATCTTCAATTTATAATTTGCCATACTATAAATTTTAATTCAAAATAATTATTATTAAAGATTTAAAAGTTAAATGAATACTCAAGTCCAAAAATACTTTCAGTTAATACAAATAATTTAATTTTTATGAAAACTAAAATGAAATAAAATAAAATAAAATAAAAGGATAGGGGCTGGAGGAAGTAAAAATTTCAAGAAAAATGTAGACAATTTATGGACAGCCCCATAGAAGAAAAAGTTGTGTATCATTTTGTGACAAAAGACAGATTTGTTTACTTGCTACTCAATCTAAGTTGTCAGCAAGTAAAATTAAAAGTGCATCTTGACTTTCCTATTCAACTCTGGCTATCTTAAGTTTTGTAATCCAAAAAAATGCTTAAATACACAAAACTAATGAGGATACCATCATTAACAACGAAACATAAAAATTTGGATTTGGGAAGAAAAATCATGTGCTGGACTCATCAATGGTATAGCATAGTATATTAACTCTAAGTTGAAAGATCAACTTAGTAAGTATGGTCACATTCTTAGAAATGAAAATATCATCTTTCAGCAGTAATGCATCCTGTCACAATTCAAAAATGATGAAACAATGGTTTTCTAGAAATAATATTGAAGTTTTGTCAGGACCTGCATGTTCCCCAGATCTGAGTCCTATGGGAGCTTCTTCTTAGGTCCAGTTACAAAGATGGGAGACAATTTTCAACAGTTGCAGACCTGAAACAAGCTATTCAAAAATGTTGGGATGAAATTCCAGATGAGCTGTTGATTAAATTAATTGATTCAATGCCATATAGCAAGTATGATGTTATTCATTGCAAGGAGGTTACACAAAGTATTAATTCCTTAAATTAAGACATTAATTCATTTTTGAACTTATAATTTTGTCTCTAATATTTTTTTCAAATAATTTGTGATTATAAAAGTATTTAACATATCAAAATAATAGATATAATTGAATATTTTTATATTTATGTTACCATTTCATTTAAGCAATTTATTGTCTGTTATGTATTTAAAAAATTTTTAAAAATTGCCTGTTATGTATGATAGCATGACATGCAATTTTCGGGAGATCTGGATCAGAGCAAAGATTACAGTAGATATTCACAAGTCAAGTGAATTTCATTCTATTGGGAGGAAAGGCAGGTTATTCTTAAATCATACAGACCAAGATGCTGTCTTGCTATTTTTCAATCAGCATTATAATGATTTTGTGGAATGGATAGCTAATATTTGATTGGCCTTTGTAAGGACATTTTTGGCTAAAAGTGAAGAATTGGATTTGGCCTATTTCTACAAAAAGGAAAAAGAAACAGGAAGTTGAATTTCCCTCAGGTACAGTTTTGTGAGGTTAGCCGATTGGGGTGAGGAGTTTTCCGACAGCCAAGTGGTCAACTCCATCGTGTGGGAGTGTTAGGATTCACTGAGACAGGTTTCCATCGTAAACTGTTTATTAAACATAGAAATTTTCTTACAAATTCCTTGATAGACAAGGTAGCACCAAAAAACGGGCGGAAAAAGTTTGAAAAGTTCTGTGTTTGTTACTTGTGGATGGACGCTGACGGTGAAATACTCCGTAGGGTCCATCCACATTTACCTTTCCCTGGGCCATTTATCTTGGCTTTCGGCGGCTTCTCGTGGACGAACTGACGAATCTGTAGATCGCTAGGAGGCACCCGGAGAATGATGTTTCCACAAGTTCCTAAATGTTCTTTTGTTTTCCAAAGATCAGGAGCATGCATGTCCAGGAAAAGAAACTCTACGCATCCAAGAACCAAGAACCTTTGTAACTTGAATCGCACGGTTTTATAGATTTCTTAACCTCAGTCACCGCTCCATTGGTCTCTCCTTGTCACCTGGTAAACATTCAAAACCTAATGGAGGGCGCGGGAGAGGTCAACATTGCGAATGAATATGATTCCTCTCTCTTGTCGAGTTTTCCTCGAATTTATCCGTTTCCACTGTTTAAGAAATTTACGAAAAAAAAAAAAAAGAAAAAAAATTGCATTGTTCAATTGAGATACCTAATCCTTTCCATTCGCGTCTGAAAAGGAGCACTTTAAATTTCCAATTGATACCCTTTATTCAGATCTCTCAGTCGACCCGTTAGGGTCCTCACAGTTTCCTGCCAATCACAAAGAATCTGGGATGCCCTTTCACTCCCCTTCCACTACTGTCTGTCTTCTTAGTAACCTTTCTTTTTATTTTAGTTTTAAACGTTAGAATAAACTTAGTGTATTCATGATTGTCTTTGTCAGATCTTGTGATGTTTCACAATTGTGATTACATGTGGTTTTTGTTTTTTTCCTTGTGTCTGTATAGTGAGAATTTGTGTGAGGGATTTGGTTGAATTACCAATTAGCATTCCTCAAGTTGGAATTTGAGCTTTTTGCATTTGCATATATTAAAACATTTTTATTTGTTTATTTGTAATTTTTTTGGTTGTAATCTTGTTGATAGGCAGCAAACCTTTATATATTTCACAATTAAAAACATTTAAATTTTCTTTTGCTTCTTTTTTCTTCCTAATGAAAGTTTAAACAACAGAAATTTGAGAGTAGTTTACACCAAGTGCTTCCAGAAATTTAATTTTTGCCATATCCAGGTCATCTACATTTGCAATAGCAATGTAACAAGTTACTGTTACAGCTAAATATCTTTATATTTTTGTTAAAATAAGATAAAAGATGCAATAAAAATACTGTTTAAATGTTGACATCTATTTCCTCACTTTTTCCTATTTTGTCTATAATAAGGTAATCTTTTAAGTTGTGGTTCAAAATTCTAAGATGCTTGGCACAAAGTTGTTCATCTATATTGATGTCTGTATGTACTGTACAATATTTACTAGTTCTTTGAAAACTTAATCAGATCTACTTTTCAGTATTTCCTCATTAAATTTAAATATTATAAATATGTAATGTTTTCGTTTGACGTTTCGAACAGGCAATATGATATTTAATTCAGCGTTGGTAACGGAGTTTAAATATTTATAAATATTTCAAGTTTAAATGTATTTTTAGCCAAAAGTCGACAATCGCGTTGGAAAAGTTTGTGTTTACGTCACACATGGTCCCTGTGTCTGCGATCTTTAAATAATTATGGAAAATCAGTATCAAGGAGTAACAGAGAGTTCTAATATTTGGAATAATTCTGGTTGTAATAGTGAAGATTATAAGAAAGAAGAAACAGACAGGAATTATGATGCTAAATATCTTATTAAATCAGAATGTCGAGTTGTTTTGAAGAGATTGAATATTAAAGTAGAGATTGAAGATGGTAAAGAAGTCATTCTCCTTCCAGATGAATACAAACACTTAAATCTTATCAAGAAGATTAATTTCTTCATTCCCAACAAAACATTTAACAGAAATAAAGTGAACGTCCAAATTAACAAGGATGAACAGAATAAAGAACATCACATTTCAAAAAGAACAAAGCATTATAAAGATGAGACCAACAGGAAGAGGTTTCGTTTTTCAGTTAAAAACTTGAATAAAATACAATGGAATATTAAAAAGAAGTACTTCAAGATAATGTGTGCATTTCATTTTAAAGAAAAGTTCACATGTAATTTATGTACCCAGCCTTTCACAAATTACAAAGTATTAAGAGCCCATCTGTTCTTTCATATTGGAAACAAACCATTTCAATGCACAACCTGCAATCAGATGTTTTACTGGGAATTTGTTTTACGAAGACACAACAAAGAACACTACAATAAAATGCAAATGTTACAAAAATCATTGGAAGCCAGAAACATAAGAATAGTTGAAGACAACGTCACCAAAGTTTTTTATAAAACCTGTTTTTTATAAAAACTGTGGCACAAAGTTGTTCATCTATATTGATGTCTGTATGTACTGTACAATATTTACTAGTTCTTTGAAAACTTAATCAGATCTACTTTTCAGTATTTCCTCATTAAATTTAAATATTATAAATATGTAATGTTTTCGTTTGACGTTTCGAACAGGCAATATGATATTTAATTCAGCGTTGGTAACGGAGTTTAAATATTTATAAATATTTCAAGTTTAAATGTATTTTTAGCCAAAAGTCGACAATCGCGTTGGAAAAGTTTGTGTTTACGTCACACATGGTCCCTGTGTCTGCGATCTTTAAATAATTATGGAAAATCAGTATCAAGGAGTAACAGAGAGTTCTAATATTTGGAATAATTCTGGTTGTAATAGTGAAGATTATAAGAAAGAAGAAACAGACAGGAATTATGATGCTAAATATCTTATTAAATCAGAATGTCGAGTTGTTTTGAAGAGATTGAATATTAAAGTAGAGATTGAAGATGGTAAAGAAGAAGAAAAAGTTGTGTATCATTTTGTGACAAAAGACAGATTTGTTTACTTGCTACTCAATCTAAGTTGTCAGCAAGTAAAATTAAAAGTGCATCTTGACTTTCCTATTCAACTCTGGCTATCTTAAATTTCCCATCTTATTAGTGATGGCTATTTATTTAGGTACATGGACAATCTCATCTCCACCTGAAGGAATATATATATCAGATTGGGATCATTTAAAATTTCGACAATGTGATTTTAATTGGTGGGATCATAGCATAGCCATAGGTTAGCTTCTAATAGATACATTTAAATTAAACAAAAATTGCTTGCATTTTTAATGATCATTTGGCTTCCAGGTGAATTTTTATTTCTGTTGTGGGGTATACGTGTGTGTTACAATGTCCGAGCCTTGTTTCTTTTTTTTTTTCGTTTCTCTTTCTTTCATAAACTTCACTTCTGGCCTTTGTTTTGTTGTTCTCTAGTGATCCATTGGATCATTGCATCAACCAATTTCATTGTTTCTGTTTGCTTTGTTCTGTTGGCTTGGTTGAGCCTTGTTTCTTTTTTTTTGTTTCTCTTTCTTTCATAAACTTCACTTCTGGCCTTTATTTTGTTGTTCTCTCGTGATCCATCGGATCATTGCATCAACCAATTACGGTTGATGCAATGATCCGATGGGTCACTAGAGAAAAGGGCGTGACACCAGATCGGTCAAAGGGGACTGACACATGAGGAAAGGGGGAAAATTGTCATTCTTAGAGAAGAGCTGAGAAGGAGAAGACCTAGACGTCAGTGATTATGGAAAGAAGACTCCTCTGGAACAATGGACTTGAGGTGCATTTTTTTCCAGTCACTCCCTTTTGATGCTTTTCTTTTCCTATCAAAAATCAATTCTTCTAATTCTTATTAACCCCATCTTAATCTAGGGCCCTTCATTTTGTAAATTTAGTTAAGTTATAGTTAAGATAGATGTAAATTAGAATAAGTTCTTTGTTTTGTCGGCACGTAGGAATCAACCGGTTGTATTGTTACGGTTGGTCCCAAGGACCTTTGTAATTTCCTACTTTATAAATGTGTATACAGTAATTGTATATTCGGAAACTATTGGTATTAACTGTAAATAATAAACTTTTAATTTTATCAATGCTGAGTGATTCTTTGGATTCTGTCATTTGCTCTCAGACACACTGTAAATGGCTAACAAGCCATGATAGCTACTAACATTCAATCACTAAGAGTTTTTTTTTTTTATTCAATACAAATTGTGTACATTGAATAATCTTATTTATTGAGAATTTTAAAAAGAAAACTAAAAAGAGTATAAATATAAAATGAATATAAAAAGTTTAATGTCTCCATTTTATCAACTATATAAATATTCTTTAGTTCATATCAATGAAAGAAACCATGATACAGAAAACATCTTGCATTTGGTGAAAGTAAAAATGCATTTTCATTAACTGAATAATTTAGTCATTGGATAAAAACTATATTTAAATTTTTAAAAAAAATGACATTTGGAAGCATTCAATAATTCTATAAAAATCACTTAATTTAGTATCACACTTTCTTTGGCAAAATATCACTAACATGTTAATAATTACAAGTATTTTTACTTTTTGTATGCAAAGATCTTGTACAATCTTGTAATTTAAAACTGTGTATATATATATGGTTTTACGTTTTTATGTTTCAAAATGTAATTCCAGTACAAAAATATATTCAAAAATACAAATCAGATACACCATTTAAAAATTTTCAAAGGTATTTTTGCTTATTTTAAGATAATATCAGTCAATTTTTTTGAGATAAGTGATAAATTTGGTCTTCACAAATGGGTTTTATCTTTTTATTTTGATAACAGCATGACTGTCAAGAAAGGAGAAAAGATGATCAACTTTCTTTTCATTTAAAAAACAATATTTAATTCATCCCTTATAATTTTTAAACAAAGTTCCAAACAATACTCTTTGTGTAGTCACAGATTCATATATCATGGACCAAAAGAGAAAATAGATATGTGGGAGTCAGTGCCTTCATAAATAAATAAGTGTTGTTCAGGTTTAATAGATGGTAAATTAGGCTGCAGTTCAGAAACTTCTCTCTGATTAGAATATTGGTGGGGATGAAGATGAGTACTTTGTCAGATATTCTCTTCACAATGAAAACAAGGACTTTACAGTAAGAATGATCAATGACTAGTTGGCAGTGGATGAGGACAAGGAATTCTGTTGTTCTCTCTTGCAAACTGTTCTGTTCAAATTGTATTTTCATAGTCTTTTTAAGTTACTCATTTATTCATAATCTGTCATTTTCATGTACAATATATCTGTTATGAACATCTAATTCAATTTCAATGTTTTAGATGGCTGCTATATTTCCTGTTCTGGAAGTTTACAGCTGTGTGGCTACAAAATGGACTAGACATATGGGTTTCTGTATAACTTATAGTGCACTTCTACTTAAAACTTGGAGGTAAGTTATCTTAAATATAAATATAAACCAATGAAATCTAAAATTATGATTAATTTCTCCTTACAGAGTCTCACTCACTTATCGAGTAAAATCAGCTCACAAGTTAAAGCTAACAGATAAGCAACTTCTGCAATGGTTATTTCCCATCTTATTAGTGATGGCTATTTATTTAGGTACATGGACAATCTCATCTCCACCTGAAGGAATATATATATCAGATTGGGATCATTTAAAATTTCGACAATGTGATTTTAATTGGTGGGATCATAGCATAGCCATAGGTTAGCTTCTAATAGATACATTTAAATTAAACAAAAATTGCTTGCATTTTTAATGATCATTTGGCTTCCAGGTGAATTTTTATTTCTGTTGTGGGGTATACGTGTGTGTTACAATGTCCGCCATGCTGAGTCTTTCTTCAATGAAGCCAAACACATCAGTTGGGCCATCTACAACATCACAATTGCCAATATTATCATGGTGATGATTCAGTAAGTCAAAAATTTGTTAAATTATAATTAAAGTTTTTAAATGAATTTTCTATATAATATAACAATATGTTCTAACATCATTATTCTTTAGGAATTCCTTAAATCCAAAAATGATGGCAGTTATTGATGGGCTAGTATTTTTGGAATCCACAGATTCCAAAAATAATAGCCCATCAACAACTTTATTTTACCTATTGAGTAATAGACTAGTGTTTTTGGAATCTGTGGATGTGATAATTCCTAGAGAATAAGTGTTTGAACCAGTTATATTGATATTTGAAAAATGGAATAAAAACAGAAAGTTAAATTCTATATAATATTTAAGAACATTTCAAAAGATTCATAAATGCTTGATTCATACTTCACCTCCTGCAAAATCAATTATAATTGGAAGAATTCCAAGCTAAAGCAGTAACTGGAGAAAAAATAATACTTATTTGGCTGCCAACAGCTAAATCACGTTTTCAAATCTGAATTTATCATAATTCACATCTTTCTTTTTTTAACTATGTTGAAGAGATCATTTATTACCACAATAAAAGTAAAAAAATAATCTCTTTTATTGTAGCATTGTCATTTTGCCAACAGCTGGTCCAGACATCAAATATTTATTTGGATTTATTCGCACTCAGCTTAGCACTACAGTCACAGTTATTCTTATTTTTGGACCAAAGGTAAAAAGAAAATTTTTTAGATGTTTTCTTTATTAAATACATTTATATCATAAATCTTTACACAATAGTTCTATCGAGTAATTAGAGGGGAAGGTGATACTTGGGATAATAGAGCCAGAGCAAGAGGAGTAACAGCTTCCTTTTCATTAAATGGAGTTGGTCTAGTTCACGAGGAAACAACTGATCTTTATCAAGAAAATGAAGAATTAAAGGTATATTAAATTAATCATTTTAAAGCTAGTTATGTAAAATTGAAATAAATTTTATTCATTTACAGGAAGAGATACAAAAATTAGCAGCACAGATAGAGTTCATGAAGATTGTTCATATGGAAATAAATAACCGTCATCTTAAACCAAAACATGGGAACTTTTTTAGTCAGACTAGTACAACACAAAGTCCCATTATTAAGTCTATGTACATGAAATTTGATAGTACAGATTCTCCAGGATGTCATATATCCCCAGCTGCAGAACTAGTAAGTGAAAGGGTCTAGTTATAAAAAAAAAAAACTGCTTTATACAACCGAGCTTCAAATTTTGCTGACAGGCAATCAACGATTATTTGTATTATGATTGCCAGAAAACTGATTTATTTTGATGTGTGAAAATATAGGTAGAATTCCAAAGTTCACTTTTTTTCAAGTCTACAAAATCTTCGTGCTTCCAATGACATCCTTTGCTCCTCATTTTGCCTGTGTGAATTGATTAACGTATTTACCATTTACTTGTCCCAGTTCATAAAAGCAAAAAATCAAATAATGGGACCATAACAATGTTGTATTAATGTATATCAGTATGCATAGAATGTATTATAAATAATTTATTGGGAAAATGTCTGTCAGTTATTATTATATTTGTGATTAATTTTTAGTGATTAATTTGTGAATCATTTTCTACATAAATCCAAAATTCTTGGAGGTGTAACACAGAGTACCTTGAACTACAGCATGCCATGGTCCATATGCAAACTTTTCAGCTAAGCAATCTGACAAGAATTTTTTCAAATATTCTGAGATCTTAAAATCATTGAGTGGGAAAAATATAAGAAGTGTATGGAAATGCATTCTATTTCAGAAGCTTTTGTATATAAATTGTATAGGAGTTACATCACATCGAGTTTTCTGTTTTAGATTATTATTAATACTATTAAAAAAATTGAATTTATTTCATCATCATCATAAGAATCATGATGTGTAGATGTACATAAATTCAAATATATTTATAAAAGTCAGCATAAATTACTGCAGTTCCATCTGTCATATCTGAATTGTTGTTTTATAAATATATTGCCAGAAGTTGAAAGTTGAATCTTCATAATTTTGATGCTGTTGAAATCTTTTGTTAAAATATAAAATAAAATAAGAGAATAAAACTTTCATTTAATTTATGTTATTTTACTTATTTATGATGAGTTAAAAATTATTTTTATGTAAAATAGTAAAAACTAATACAAAAGGATAATAAATTTTTAATTTTACTCAGTGAGTTCTTTCATTCTAGTTCATAATTACAGAATATTTTTGTCATCTTACTAAAAAAGTTATTAATAAAAACTTAATATTTTAAAATTATTAAGCAATTTTTGTGTTTTTTTAAATAAAATTATACTAACAAGCTTCCATGTGTATAATCCACAATGGTGCATCCATGCAGAAAATTTCTAGAATGAAAATAAGACGCATCGCCACTGTATATCCTTTATCCATGACACAATGGCTGTTCCACAAGTGAGTTTGTAATTGCAATTTTAAATTGGAATACAACCTACATTCTTTCAAATTGTCTTTTAAAAACAGATTATAGGCACAAAAATATAGCACTCTTATCCATAACACATTGAAAATATATTCATGAAATAATTAATCTTCAATTTATAATTTGCCATACTATAAATTTTAATTCAAAATAATTATTATTAAAGATTTAAAAGTTAAATGAATACTCAAGTCCAAAAATACTTTCAGTTAATACAAATAATTTAATTTTTATGAAAACTAAAATGAAATAAAATAAAATAAAATAAAAGGATAGGGGCTGGAGGAAGTAAAAATTTCAAGAAAAATGTAGACAATTTATGGACAGCCCCATAGAAGAAAAAGTTGTGTATCATTTTGTGACAAAAGACAGATTTGTTTACTTGCTACTCAATCTAAGTTGTCAGCAAGTAAAATTAAAAGTGCATCTTGACTTTCCTATTCAACTCTGGCTATCTTAAGTTTTGTAATCCAAAAAAATGCTTAAATACACAAAACTAATGAGGATACCATCATTAACAACGAAACATAAAAATTTGGATTTGGGAAGAAAAATCATGTGCTGGACTCATCAATGGTATAGCATAGTATATTAACTCTAAGTTGAAAGATCAACTTAGTAAGTATGGTCACATTCTTAGAAATGAAAATATCATCTTTCAGCAGTAATGCATCCTGTCACAATTCAAAAATGATGAAACAATGGTTTTCTAGAAATAATATTGAAGTTTTGTCAGGACCTGCATGTTCCCCAGATCTGAGTCCTATGGGAGCTTCTTCTTAGGTCCAGTTACAAAGATGGGAGACAATTTTCAACAGTTGCAGACCTGAAACAAGCTATTCAAAAATGTTGGGATGAAATTCCAGATGAGCTGTTGATTAAATTAATTGATTCAATGCCATATAGCAAGTATGATGTTATTCATTGCAAGGAGGTTACACAAAGTATTAATTCCTTAAATTAAGACATTAATTCATTTTTGAACTTATAATTTTGTCTCTAATATTTTTTTCAAATAATTTGTGATTATAAAAGTATTTAACATATCAAAATAATAGATATAATTGAATATTTTTATATTTATGTTACCATTTCATTTAAGCAATTTATTGTCTGTTATGTATTTAAAAAATTTTTAAAAATTGCCTGTTATGTATGATAGCATGACATGCAATTTTCGGGAGATCTGGATCAGAGCAAAGATTACAGTAGATATTCACAAGTCAAGTGAATTTCATTCTATTGGGAGGAAAGGCAGGTTATTCTTAAATCATACAGACCAAGATGCTGTCTTGCTATTTTTCAATCAGCATTATAATGATTTTGTGGAATGGATAGCTAATATTTGATTGGCCTTTGTAAGGACATTTTTGGCTAAAAGTGAAGAATTGGATTTGGCCTATTTCTACAAAAAGGAAAAAGAAACAGGAAGTTGAATTTCCCTCAGGTACAGTTTTGTGAGGTTAGCCGATTGGGGTGAGGAGTTTTCCGACAGCCAAGTGGTCAACTCCATCGTGTGGGAGTGTTAGGATTCACTGAGACAGGTTTCCATCGTAAACTGTTTATTAAACATAGAAATTTTCTTACAAATTCCTTGATAGACAAGGTAGCACCAAAAAACGGGCGGAAAAAGTTTGAAAAGTTCTGTGTTTGTTACTTGTGGATGGACGCTGACGGTGAAATACTCCGTAGGGTCCATCCACATTTACCTTTCCCTGGGCCATTTATCTTGGCTTTCGGCGGCTTCTCGTGGACGAACTGACGAATCTGTAGATCGCTAGGAGGCACCCGGAGAATGATGTTTCCACAAGTTCCTAAATGTTCTTTTGTTTTCCAAAGATCAGGAGCATGCATGTCCAGGAAAAGAAACTCTACGCATCCAAGAACCAAGAACCTTTGTAACTTGAATCGCACGGTTTTATAGATTTCTTAACCTCAGTCACCGCTCCATTGGTCTCTCCTTGTCACCTGGTAAACATTCAAAACCTAATGGAGGGCGCGGGAGAGGTCAACATTGCGAATGAATATGATTCCTCTCTCTTGTCGAGTTTTCCTCGAATTTATCCGTTTCCACTGTTTAAGAAATTTACGAAAAAAAAAAAAAAGAAAAAAAATTGCATTGTTCAATTGAGATACCTAATCCTTTCCATTCGCGTCTGAAAAGGAGCACTTTAAATTTCCAATTGATACCCTTTATTCAGATCTCTCAGTCGACCCGTTAGGGTCCTCACAGTTTCCTGCCAATCACAAAGAATCTGGGATGCCCTTTCACTCCCCTTCCACTACTGTCTGTCTTCTTAGTAACCTTTCTTTTTATTTTAGTTTTAAACGTTAGAATAAACTTAGTGTATTCATGATTGTCTTTGTCAGATCTTGTGATGTTTCACAATTGTGATTACATGTGGTTTTTGTTTTTTTCCTTGTGTCTGTATAGTGAGAATTTGTGTGAGGGATTTGGTTGAATTACCAATTAGCATTCCTCAAGTTGGAATTTGAGCTTTTTGCATTTGCATATATTAAAACATTTTTATTTGTTTATTTGTAATTTTTTTGGTTGTAATCTTGTTGATAGGCAGCAAACCTTTATATATTTCACAATTAAAAACATTTAAATTTTCTTTTGCTTCTTTTTTCTTCCTAATGAAAGTTTAAACAACAGAAATTTGAGAGTAGTTTACACCAAGTGCTTCCAGAAATTTAATTTTTGCCATATCCAGGTCATCTACATTTGCAATAGCAATGTAACAAGTTACTGTTACAGCTAAATATCTTTATATTTTTGTTAAAATAAGATAAAAGATGCAATAAAAATACTGTTTAAATGTTGACATCTATTTCCTCACTTTTTCCTATTTTGTCTATAATAAGGTAATCTTTTAAGTTGTGGTTCAAAATTCTAAGATGCTTGGCACAAAGTTGTTCATCTATATTGATGTCTGTATGTACTGTACAATATTTACTAGTTCTTTGAAAACTTAATCAGATCTACTTTTCAGTATTTCCTCATTATTATAACATTTTTTAAAATTTTCAACAAATCTCCAAGACTGTATTGTTGTGACAGTAAACTTCTATTTGCAGGGCCAATTATTTCTAAGACTGTTTTAAAGAAAACCAAACAGAAACAAAAATATTTATTTTTAAATGTAGTGAACTAAACTGGTAGCTTCTATACTTATTTACCATTTATTTTTTTATCTTCTTCAGAACATTAATATTTCTGCATAATTATAAAATTTATTTTTGTTGCATCTAGATGCTCTCTCCATCTTTGTTCTAAGATCCAACATAGCACTTTACCTTCATACATTTTTGTAACCATTCCTATTTTTTAGAAACTGTTCCTTTCCAATGAATATAATATAGACCATTTCTCAAAAAATTGTTTGACCTCAGGCATTTCTTAAGTATCTTTTTTAACTATTAAATACAATCTGTGGTTACTGCAATAGATGTAAGATTTCTCTCTAATCAAATTTTTTGTGATGACTAAATCCCTTCTTTATCACAATTCATGACAGATTCGCTATTGTAGCACTGACTTGAGTTTTGGTACTTGGTGAACATGTTCACCAAGAAGTTGGGTGAACATGTGAAATCCCCAAAAGTAGCATTAAAGTATGTGGTGTAGTGCTATGCTACTATGTGTTATGTATCATTTTTCTATAAGTTCTATATTATTCTAGCATGTAAGCAGTTTCCGTTAATTTTATATTGGGATTGACTTTCTGTATATTAAATTAATTTGTGTTGTATTCCTTTCATTCCCTGGTACCACCATTTTTCTTTGTTGAACCAATCTGAACCTGCTGATTGGTTTGGAGTGTGATCACATGCCAAAATGGAACTCCTGGATGTGGGAAAGCATAAATTCAATGTGTTCACATGTTCAGGACCTTTTTTTTCCTGGCTCCAGAGTTCACGACTGGACACCAGAAAGTCAGTGGAATGCGAAGGACCTTGGAAGTAGCGGTAGAACATTAAGCAAATTTTTTCCTTGTTAAGTAATCTGAATACATCTCCAAGAAGACAAGATATATGAATATAGAATGTGTTGATCATGTCCAGGAACTTCATAAGGACCTGAGTAAGACTATTATTTTTAGTTATAGACTTTAGTAGAAATGTGGGTGATTAAGTTTGATTCATGGACTAATGTGCATCGAATAGGATACTAATATACAAAAATAACTAAGAAGAAACGTGACAGCATGTTTATGCTTCATCTTGTATGTAATTGTAATTATTGATAAGCAATTTCAACATATTATTCGGACTGGAATTGTTCTCTTTGTACGAAATCATACTAATTGTTCATGACAAGGCTTATGTATATATAAACTAAAGAGACTAGCTGTAGTCCAAGGTTGTATATATATATATTTTAATAAACATGGCTTTGTTTTGTCTGAAATTGTAAAGTCCTCATCACATTCCTCTTTCACACCTCAGCATATCCCGGTATGCTTGAGATACTACAGTGGCAAACCCACCATTAAAACAAAACTACAACTGCTTCCAGAGGGTGTGAGAGATGAGAAGGAAAGAGACAAGAAAAGGAAGCAGCAGCATTCTGGATCTGGATGTCAAACTGTATTTACCAATGCATGGTTTAATATCCAATCACATCCGAATACATATTAATGTTAAATACTGTAAATTAAAATTTAAGTGTACGTGATTAATAGTATATC